TGTAAACTCATGGCACATGAAAAATGGAGAGAATAGTTCAAATCCTGCAGCACCAGGACTTTTACAGCGAACTGATAAAGATCGCACAATATTACTTTCTACAAACTTTCTATTTGAGTCTGTTGCTAGCATACTCATTTTAGTTTACAATTTTAACGACATTTCTTGCAGCCAGTTTTACGATATTGCAAAAAATAACCCAGCAATGTTGACGAGGATTAGAGGAACTTCCAAATACTCGTGGGCTGAGGAAAAATAAATCGATTATTCTGCAGATGTTTTTTTAATAAAGACAAAAAAGCATATTAACTCATTGTCGTCACATCGTCTATTGTCACTTCTATTTTTAATCCTAGAGAATTCGGTAGATATATAATGTATATCTCGGGCACAGATGAGATGTGGTTCTACCGAACGATATGTCCTCCTTTTAGGGATTGGAAATATGGTCACCCTATATATTTGAAAATCTCGTAGTTCTCTGCTTTGAAATTTTGTTTTTGTGAAATGAAATATAAGATATCCTCCGAAAATAAGCCCTAGTGTTATTTTTCGGAAGAAAATCGAAAGGCCCAGTTCTATTTTCGGGGAAACACGGCATGTCGGTAAATTATATTTTCACGAATTTCTCCTATCTCAAAGGTATAATCAGACTAGTTCTATACAGTGGTGGGATTCAAATTTTTTGTAAGCCGGTTCCATCACAAAAGTCACATTTTTCAGCAGGTTCTGTTACAAAAAGTCATATGTTTTTTAGCAAATAAACCAGTAATTCTAACCGGTTCGCTGATCTCAGGAAATTCCGTGAAACGGTTCTATAGAACCGGTGCGAACCGGCTGAATCCCACTACTGGTCGTTATAACATATATATATGTACTCAGATTGTCATATTTCAGAGCAGTATAACTTTTATTTTATTGCCACGGACTGCCTTTATTTTGCGCAACAGAAAAAATCCATCATCGATAAAATGGTCGACAGTTTCAACAAATGGCATAATCGCGACGACTGTTTGGATCGGAATTTTTTGTTTCCGATGTTAAATTCAGGATAAAATTTACTAAAAATATAGATAAATGCAAGGTATCTGTCATTTTTGACGATGTTGATTCTTTCATTTCTACCATCTTATTTCCGATGCTAAATACAGGATAAAATTTACTGAAAATATAGTTTAGTGCAAGTCATCTGACATTCTATTTAATATTAAAAAGTCTCGTTGAAATTCATCCATCTTATTAAATTAACCATGTATCATGATGAGTGTATTCTATTTATCACTTCGAAATTGATATGGTAGATCATCAGAGTCTTTGTTTAATTTTTTCTTACACGTTTTCTTCATTTAATCATTATGAATCAACAACTAGGGTCCATTCAAATTTATCATGAATGATCCATCCATCAGCCTGCTAATTTTGCTGATGCATCTACAATCACTTCTCTAGTCTGAGACTCTTACTGTGCCTGTCGGCAGTAAAAAGGCAAGCTGAGTCTCCAACGCAAATCACACACAGATTCAAAATCAAAATGAGGAAATGTATAAGAATTGGGTAATAATGATTATCTGCTAGTCATTTCTTCCCTGAATTCTCCAAATTTCTTGGCATAAAATTAAAGGTGTCATTCAAACAATTTCTTTGTCAACAAGTTCAGCAAACTAAGCTATACATTTTTGTATTCTCACCCCTCTCTGTGTGGTATATTTTCTGATACTATTTGAATCGCTTGAGGCCATAAATAAGACTTTTATTCGACACTAAACATAACTTGAAAGAAATGAACATTTTATTTGTGAGGTGCATGCATGATATGATGCTCATGAATCTCATCGATGAATTTTTGAGATGGAGGTCCTGTAAAATAAGAATTTTATCATTAAAATGATTATATGTATTTATCTAGGAAATATTCACAGCACCTCGAGAAATATTGATCTACTTACATCTGTTGAAGTTATCAGGCAAAGTGCGCAAGCCGGTATATCTAAATATGCCATTGGTCGCACGAGTATACAAGAAACAAGACCTTTGAAAAATACTTACCATATAGCCAATTTCCCTTCTGATCTTTAACACTCTGATGAAACTTGGTACCCTCTGTAAAAGCATTTTAGCAATTATGTCACCCTGTTTAATGAAGTACACACAATGATGTTGACTGATTTAATACTCACTGCCAGCCTTTGTTATCTTATACATTCCATATACAACCACAGTAGTAGCTATAACGTATGACCAACTTCCTTTTATTGCAGCGGCATTTGTTCTCCAAATTCCTTGACAATTCATAGTGAAGTATTTGAGCAATCCAATGTTTTTTGGTGGATACATCCAGTTATTATACTGGGTTGGATAATTGCTGCTGTATTTGGAGTATTTTCCCATATTGAAATTAAACCCGATATTGAATTAATTTAGGCCTGAACTAAAAACAATGAGATAAACAGATGATATAATACTGTAATAGGTTGGTAACCTACTTTTATTGGAACAATTTTCACTTTTCAATTTTCTTTCGTTAAAAACTGATATCAGATATATATTTTATACACAATTTAACTAAAGTATTTAATTGAAAAATTCCTTCAGTACTTGGTATTGTGGTACCGGTATTGAATGCTCGTCAGCCCAGTGAGAAAATATAAGTCTTAATCAATCCCGGTACAGATAATGTACAAAAACTAGTCGATAAATACTAATGCATAAACCAATCAAACTAACTTGTTACCAACTGACTTCATTGAGTATAAGTATAAGTTTATTTCGACTCCATAATCAGCAATAGACGATAAAAAAATAGATAAAAACAAAAGTAAAAGTAACTGATTATAGAATCGGGAAAGCGAACAAAACCTAGAGTAAGGTTTGAAACGTACAGATTTTAGATGGAAAGGTATTGATAAAAGAAGTAGTACGTGTTCGCTCACCCAAAAGTAAAAAAAAAATTAATTAAGGCACGCACGCACACACACACAATCATCCAGACATGATACTGTCGGAAGCGAAAAAAAAGCGAGACTTAAAAGTAAAAAGGAAGGAAAATATACAAACAAATAAAAAAAAAAATGAATAAATTCTTTTGCCACACCAAATTAATAATTTTATGAGGATTGCCAAATTGGATACCGAATTAGTCAACAAGAGTAATGTATTGTGGATAGAAAAGTATTCCTCAAAAGATATCGTCAAGCTGATTATAATTGGAGTCACCTAATGCCAAATTGCCCAATCAGAATTGCCAAGTTGGATGTATGAAGAGGTGGGCTAGACCTGCTTCACTCATCAAATAAAAGCCACAACAAGCCAAATAACGTCCAAATTATTTTAAATACTATTAATCAATAACGGTACCGCAGTACCGGTAATCATAATTAAAATTAATTAGGGCGATATGATACAGAGGTAGGAAAATTGGCTAAGGGAATATATATGGTGTTTAAGGTTCAAGTAAAGTTTCTAGGGTCATGGATTACAGGCAAGTAACTTTAATTGAGGTTGTTGATCACTGCGGTCAGTTCAAATTCATCACGGATGATTCATCAGTCTGCAAGTTTTGTTGATGATAGACCTGGCAGATTAATATTTTTGAACAGCATTTTGCAGATTTTGAAAGGCAAGACAAGTTCAGACGCCCGAGTGATGCTGACGTTACGGTAGTAATTAACTGTGTAAAAATTTTAATCGCAGAGCTGTCTTGACCTTCAAATACGATAATAAGAAATTTATTCGAACCATGGTAGTCAAATTCTGGAGTTCCTGGGCCTTGTACAGATGTAACCGCCATTTTCCAGACAAGATTAGGCATCATCTTGTCATTTCTGCATTTGCTTCCAGCATCGCGAAAACGCTGAAGTAGCCATAACTGTCCAATGTCACCTATAGAATTCTGTCGCGATGAAAAGTCGCCAGTATTTTGCGATGACAGAATCGCATAAAGATCCTACGCGCAAATAACTGACGTAAAGTGTTTCTGCTCATCTCGTTTGCCCAGGCCGCATAAAACCTGCGACAGTTTTGTTGCGCACAAGGTTACCATATGGATTGTATTGCTAAATCGTTATTATTGTTGAGGCAACTTTTCTATTGGAGGAAAAAGTTTTTTTCTTCATAACTAATGGGCCAATCGATTTCAAATTTTTAGTAGTTTCTAAATCGAACTAGTCCCTAGGATGCTAGTAATTTTACCAAATTTGCTTTAATATTGGTATGAGAATTATTGCAACTTCATAATCAGCATAAAAGACAACAAACTATTTGATAAAAATTAATACCATATCCATGCGATCCGTATTTAACCATTTTTATTCCGAGCCGTCGCTTCAGCTTCTTGTGTGACCTTTGACGTCTTACTAACTATACAAGATGATGGTCGTGAGTCACTTTGGTCGTGACCAAGTCGTGACGTATTATAGTCAGTCACTTTGGTCGTGACCAATAGTAGTAGGGCGTACGATATGTATACTTGGCCATGACCATTTCTCTTCCTGTCTTCTACTTTCTTTCCATGAGTTTGTCTATAATCGCGGTTTATAGTTTACCGGTACTAAAAATAGCAGGAATATTTAACAAAAGGATGAAGATTTTGTTGGTCAAAATATACTGATACTGTGATATGATGCGTTAGAAAACTAAGGGCGATGACTGCCTGATTGGGTGTATTGTGTTATCCACATGCGATATTTGTATAGCAGGTCACCGTACCATTCCTACTGTACGAAATCACGTGGCCTCCGCCCTCGGGATATCCTGTTTAGTGTTACTGCGATATTTCATTTGCTCTGTCTGTAAAGACATTGCAGTCAAAATTATTCAGCTCTACGAATTTAAATAGAAGGTTCTAAACCTAATTTTGTATGGATTCTATATTAATTTGACAGTAGTAACTATGCTCGTCTAACAGTCTAAGGGCATCAACTAGTTGAATATTGAAAAATTTGTTTACTGATGCAATTAGGCCAGTAGGCAGATGTCATTACTATTCCACGTGGTGATAGAAAACTGCAATTACATTATATACTTTCGGTTTCACAGCTACATTTTTATGTTTGTAAGTTAGTTTTTTCAGGTACAGTGGAGTATGTCTCAAAAAATCCGTAGCACGGTTCCCAGTTCTAAACATGCCGATTTGTATAAGTTAGGATCACCACCAACATGGAAAGAATCATATAAACGTCGATGCGCTGTCCGCTTAAAAGGTAGCAGAGCAAAATTGCTACAACGCTACAGAGATTTGGGAGATGTGGATACATCAGAAAACAAACCTGATTTAGACTCTAGTGTTGTAGACGATGTAATGCGAGAAGAATGGGATCTGATGCAAAATACTTCAGAAACTGATTTCAATGCAATGCTTGATACTATGGAGCAAATCAAACTAGAGCTAATGCTACAAGAAAGAGAAATCCTAATGCAATATGACCGTATGAAGGAGTTTGATGAATCAACTTTCAAGAATGTTGTTTCTGAACATGATAGTATAAATAACTCACATGTAGTGCCCTGCCCAATATGCCATTCCAACTATCTTGAAAAACATCTCAACATTATTGTTTGCAAATGTGGCGTACAGATTGACACAGAACAAGACTGTATTACTTTGCAACATATTGATGTGCAATTGAGAGTTGGGGTCAATTCACATACTGAGCACTGTGATGCAAAACCAGTTTTTGGATTGATTGAAAACTTGGGATCAAAAAACTTGCTTATGTCCTGTAATTCCTGTGATTTTATGTTTGTGGTAATTTAACATATTATGATTTGACTGTGGAATTTATTATACACAAACACAACACACCTCAGTATTTTGCACATTTTCTTTCAAAATCCAAAGTTCAGTCGAAGTTTTATACTTTATTCATCAAATGCTTATTGCCAATCATAATCAATAGAATCGTAGGATTCATCTAAATCGTCTATTATGAATTTTCCAAGCAGTCCTTCACGAAAATCTGCTAACATGAGATTTGCTGCATAGTTGTAGTCTGGTATTTTTATAACCTGCGATCCAGTTCCAGTAAGAACCTTCCGGTTTTGATATTTTTTTGCTTTTATCGCAAGATTCAATAGCACTTTATGTATGTCATCACATGGTTCCTGGAATCCATACTTTTCCATATATCTGTAAAACGTTTTTTGTTTTCAGGAGAATAGGTAACAAATAAATATTGCATTTCGCTTATCCCAAAGATTTTTTCAGTGTTGAGTTAAAAAAAATAGCTATTTTAAAGTTATATTGATTATTGAGATCTACCTATATTGTTTCACTTATTTTTTCACTGGGTGAAAGAGTAGCTTAACATACTTGAATTGTTTCTTTTGATTGAGAGTGAATAAAAGATAGTCTGCAATCATTGCTGGTCCAACTAAATGGTCTTTTATGGTGTTACATAATGATAACTTCATTCCACTGTGGAGATCTTTCAGTTTTGGCTCTAGGATCCCTGGTGTGTCGTGTAAATAAATTAAAGGCTTTTCACAAACCTTAAAAAAAACCACATCATGTTGTACAAATCATATACCAGTTTTATTTGTATTGCTTATGATATATAGAATTTGTTTGTGCGAAGCGAAGACACTATTGTGTTTTGATCAAGTAGGAAACTTTAACTGCTTCATTTAACCTTATCCAGAGGATGATTTAGATTATTTAACTTACATCGAAAAATTGCGGTTACCTTTATTTTATACATAAGTGACCTTGTTTGTCCTGGTGATCTACCTACAGCTGCAGCTTTTCCCTTTTGAAGATGTGTTCTACGAAGGGCATTGATTAGTGAAGATTTTCCAACGTTAGGAACCCCAACAATCATCATTTCTATCCCAGCCTCACCCTCTCTGTCATATCTCTCATCTCTGTTAATGATTTCGACACACCTTGGGATAACCTAAACACATAGCTAATGACAGCATCGATATATATACAAGTATTTGGCTTCTCTTTTAAATGCTTTTTCACTTCTGCCAGTTCTGATAGCAAGATAACAATCATTCATACAAAAAAATATCTTGCATAAGTCCGTTATAATCAATTATAAAATAATTACTACGAACTTCAGAGACTGATGCATCAAGTTCTCCATTGTCTCCAGGAAGACAGTTTGTGAACAAATAATCCAATACACCCTCCGTGCGTAATCGATCATGAAGCAACTCCAACTCTTTGTCGGTTGGCTTGTAAAATAATGAACCAAGTTTAGGACAAAATTGTTTTTAATAATTTCAAATTAAGCTACCTCTCACCTGCGCTGAATCTACTTTGTTGAAGACAAGTAGTTTCGGTTTGGCAGATAACGACATCTGCAAAGCTGGATTTCTACCTGACATTGGTATCCTACAATCATGAACTTCTATGACACAATCAATCTTGCGAAGAACCGCTCGCATTTGTCGAAGACCTGTGAAAGATGTCAGGCATTGTATGTATGTGTCATATTATTCCTGTGTTACATACAAATATCAACACTGGACCCCACAGAAAACTTCTATGACCTAGCAACTAGACGTTGTTACCTTTTCCCATGTGTCTTGGAAACCAGTGTCCCAGCATTTTCTTCGTCCCAAAATCAAATGACTCACGCATCGCCCCCATATCAATGAGATCTACATCAATTAACGAGTGTGAAACTATGTAATATTTTATTGCATAATAAAACATAATATATACAATGAGAATTATACTTGATCTACTTAATCTATCTAGAAATACCTGCATTTCTAGACTAATATAGTATCTTAGGGTCTGTGGTATTTATGAATTTCCTGATTCAGTGACATACCCCCAAGGGTAGTTAGATCTGGGTAACTGAGGTAGAAAAACTTATTATTCAAGGGGCTCAAGGCATAGACTTCAGCAGGGATAAAGGAATTTGGATTTTGGGTGCTTGCCTTGGGAATGGCCAATTTCAAATATGGTAATGAAAGTAGTCATAGAAACGAAAAAATACTTAATTATTTTGAAATTGTATATATTCAATTTCATGAAAACAAAATATGCCATTCCGTCGGTAAATAGTATATATAATTGGCAATCTTGAGTAGATACTGTGTATATGAATCCTATAATTGCTAATACATAATAAGCATATGTTGAATAATACAGAACAGATATAAGTGTCATTGGTTTATGCATGAAACTAAAAACTGACTTTTGAAAGCACAGATTCATTGGTGTGGCACAGAAAAATGATGATGAAGTACTATTTGATTACATGTTCAACAGGCGAATATATGTTTGAAAGAGGGTGAATTCATATCACTTGAGACTGTTGGTTTCTTGTCATAACCAGCATAAAAATACAAGTGAATGAAATCTATTATTGATAATAAGAATGAAAAAAAATTAATAATAGCAGACATATTTAATAACAATTGTTGGAAAAACACGATTGCCAAATGTCTGTAAAACACAAGACCAATATAGAGACAGAAATTGGAAATATCAAACACCACAAAAAGTTTTCTATAAAACAGGAGATGACTGAAACCAAATATATTGAATAACTGATGTTTCTGGTATCAACATTTTATTTATGTAAAATATTATATATACCTATAATAATAAAAATGCCAATCTTTTCATTGCGACCAGAATTAAACACCTTACTGAAAACATTTTATAGTTGTGTTGCAGTGATATCAACCAGAAATTTTGATATGTCTCAAGTTTAGCATTTAACATGTAGTTAGACACAACACAATAGTCAACAGAAATCAAAAAAGAAAAAAGTGCAAAATCTTTATTGTTGTTGGCTGTCTAAAAAACAAGTACAAAGAATTAATTAAACAGTATCATATACGCAATATCTACCATGCTAAGATATAATTTAACTACTCAAACTACAAATATACACCTGCCATATTGATACAATGATATATATAATAACAGAAAAGCATGGTAAAAAATTCACAAAAGTTTAGGCAGTAGTTGGTGTAATAATGGCCAACCAGGTAGGCAGGTACATTTATATATTATGAACAGATTAAATTCCATTCACAAAAATGTTATTATCAGGCTTTTATAAAAAAAATTGTTTACTCCACTGCATCATGTTGTGTTATTAAATATATTAAGTATGCCTAAAGAGTTTATAGTTAGATGCTGCAACAGTGGCTCCTTCAATTGAATATATCATGACAGTTTTAAAAGTAAATACAAGACTACGCTAAATAATTTTAATAATCAAATTGGTACAAGCTAACTCCTATATAACCCGATTGATGCTTCATAAATATGTCCATTACAAAACTAGGGGTTTTGTAAACCAACAGGTTTTGCAGGCAATGGAGGCTTCAACTTCGGTTGACCATTTTGCGATGGAGGTGTTTCGTTTCCATTTTTCTGTTGAGTTTCACCATTATTATTGTTGTTATTGGCTTCATCTTGCTGCTCATCCTTTTCTTCATTTTCAGCTGCTAAAATGTAATGTTGCTTACGTAACTTGCCAATTGTAAGTCTTTCATCTTGCAATGCTTGTTCCAATTCTAGTATTCGAACTTGAGAATCCATTTCTTTTCTCTTAATTTGAGTCAGAGTGAATTTAGACAGATCATTGGACAAGTCATCTCCAGTATCATCAATTTGCTTTCTGCCAGCATTGGTTGATGCTACAACTCGACCAGCAGCTGCATTGACATCTTTAGAACATTTTTGTAACTTGGGCAATTTCGGACTGGTTTTATTCGCTTTCACTCTTGATGCGGCAACCAACTGCGCAGTACTTGCTGCAATCTCATGTGAGCACACTATAATTTCCTCAAATTTTCCTTCTCCTTTCACTGCTTGATCTGCCGAATCAGTTAGTAAGGTGGCACCAAATCCAACAGCTTTGGCTGCTGATATCAGTCCTTCTGTCCAACGAGAATTCTTCATGTAGAACTCTTTCACAGAAGAAGCTCCTCTGCCTTCGTTTACAATTTCCCTTTGCAACTCTTTAGATGAAATTATCAGGGCTCTGATGGCCTGCATGAGCTCAGTACACGAATCCAATATTCTTTCATTAACTTCCAAATTTACACCAGTATCTCTTTCTCTAGCTTCACGTAGCATTTCTTCAATTCTGGCAGCAGCTGACTCAATAGCATGAGATGTAGAAGACATTTCCTGATCAACCATATCTTGCAAGTCACCACCAACAATATCTGTCATCTTTGGTAAAAGTTCTTTAGCTGTAGATAAGATTTTTTGCAGTTCATCATCCATCTCATTTGTAGAAATAACTTCATCTTTATTTTCATACATTTGATAGTTTTTCAGCTTCGACAAATAAGCCAGAGATTCACTACCACAGGAATGACAGGCCGCACCGAGCTCTTTACCATGAGAATCTGATACTAGATGGCAAGTGGCCATTCCATTCAGCAGAGTTTGAGATACAGTGTGACCAAATGTTGACAAAGCTTGAACAACCTTATTCTGAGTTTGATTGTGTACAAATTCTTTTGCTCCCACTTCCAATTTCTCAACTGCTTCAATAGCACTTTCAACAGTTTTTATCAAAGCTTCAGCACTGCAAGTGCTTTGGGAATTCACTGGATCTTCCATTGCAGTCACTGCTTGACATATCATTGATTCCGTTGCCTCAACAGCAGATACAAACAGCAAATGAGCATCTTCTTTATTTCTTTGCTCAGCTTCTTGAAGATTCCGCTCTTTGTCCTGTAAACTCTGTTGCAATCTTTCACTTTCTCGCAAAAGCTGTGTTTTTTTGCTCTCATGGTCTTCTGCACTTTGTTGAAGATTTTCAGACTGCTTCTGCGCATCTGCATTTTTCCTCATTAGCAAAGCATGATCTTTTACTAGACTCATATATTTTTCTTTCATTTTTTTATACAGATCCTCATTAGCAGAAGCTTTCTTTTCAACATCGACCAACATACTTTGTTTCAGAACAGCATTTTCAGCTTGCTCATCTGCTTCTTCCAACCGCTTTTGCAATTCTTGCATTCTAACTTGATCTGCTTTTGCATGTGTTTCTTTTGCCATCAGTTCCTTTTCCAGTTCACTTATACGATCTAGAAGTTGCTTTATTTCCTCCTCATGTTCTGCTGTCATGTGTACAATTTGTGCTTTCAATGATTCAATTTCTTCTCTGAGTTGACGTATCAATTCATCACGTGGATCTGGCTCTTGATGGAAAGAAAAATCACCCATGGAACCTCCGAATACCTCATCAAAATTGGTTTCAATAAGTGGTGCTGGAGCAGGTTCTGGCTCTGGTTCTGGCGACGGGGAGCGATCAATTTCTGTTGGAGGAGCCTCATTAAGCATTCTTACTGGACCTAACTGATGACTGCGTTCAAGTTTCAACAAAAAATCAGGTGGAGATTCTGGCATAATTGGGATTTGAATGAGCCTTTTGAAATATTGCATATTACTGCATTGATAATAAAATTTTTTCAACTTTCCATAAAGATCCGTAAAACGATCACGGTGACCTATAAGCGTATCCTGCGGCAGACATGCATGAAGTTTGAACAGGAGTTTCACTGAATAGTCATACATCTGACTAGAATCCAAAATTATAGGAATACAAGGTGCAAGTCTGCACTGGCCTGCAGCAGTCATTGATATCGCTTTTGAGAAATCGAGCGTGCGAAATATTGCTTCTTGTAGATCCATTTGTGAATCCAAGCAGTCAAGAATGTCTACACATAATTCAAAAAATGTATTTATATCATTGTTACCTATTTTTTCGAGCGTATCATCAGAAATAGAGAAATTTCCGGGAAACTCTGAAAACTTGACTTGGAATTCCATTCTTTGTACCAAACATTTGGAGTATTTTGAAATTATTGTACCATATGCTTGGACGGCATGAGACCAAATTTTCCCAAGGTCTTTGACTTGTTGTTTGTACTTGATTGAATAGGAAAGCGTGCTCTCATGTCCATCTCTTAGCAGTTTATGTAACACATGACAAAACTTCCAGCAAGTAATCGCATGAGTGGAAAGCTGTAATCGACGTACAACATGCCAAAAAGTGTACGCACTCTTCTCTTGATAAGTACCCAATATTGCATTTCGAACATGCTTTTCTTTTGCTGGTACTTCATGCTGATTAATAGCTTTCTGTATACTTGTGGTTTGTACTTTTTCAAAGGTTTCTTTGTCAACCTCCAGTGAAGCCGGCACTCCTCGTTTCATATTTAGGGCAGTCTAAGCAAGTTGACGATCATAAATCGATTGAACCGTTTGAGAAACGATTACGTATTTACAGATTTATGAGATTACCCTACGTTGGCTCTTCGTCACACTAAAGCCTCACCGCGAAGTCCATACAATCTGGTAAATAAAGTCCAATCTCTGAGACGAAACCTGGCGATACGGGAACAACACAATCGAAAATAATTCCCACGCATAAAAAGAGCAACAGCACGACAGAAACCACTCGCTATCTACACACTAAAAATTATTTATCAGTTCATTTACGTATTACCCTCAGTTCAGGGTTTCTCAACCAGAAGAGCACCTCTGAGGCGTGCGAAACTGTTAAGTTCAATGGAAACCTGGTATATGGAATAGACACAGAAAAAGATTTTATTCAATGTACTTAATAGAAAAAAGAATGGAATTCATATCGGAGGTACGTCTATCTAAGGGCCGTTATCTATTTACAGACTCATCTGGGAATGTGATATCCTTTAAAGACGCTTACGATAATCATAAAAAAATAAAAGTTATCAAAGATCAGACAATATTCACAACTGGATTTTCAAGCGTTCGACAAAAATTGATGTTAGTTTAGGATATCATCCGACATGTCTGCATACCGAAATTTTGATTTGGTAAGACTGATAAAAAAAGAGGTAATGGCTGACCACCATAGGCAAAGGCTCGAGATTATGAATTTTTAAAGAAAATTTCTTTGAAATCTAACCATTTCCTTAAAGTTTTAAACGAAAAACAACGCCCGAAACTAGTTTTCGAGTTTTTACATTCGTTTGTTTACTTTTTAGCTTTGTTTGTTTACTAGGATAGGATAGGATTTACATATTTATCCCGGGGGAGAGGAAAGCCGATAAGACGGCTTATCCATATGGCGAACCACGGCCTCTCGTCCGGTTACCATTCCAAGCCGGGTATGGGATTAGTTAGTTATACTGTATTGTTTGTTTTCGGAAGCATGGACTTGGTGGTGGAGGAAGCCGTAACCGACCAGCGTTTACGTGAACCACCTTACGGCGGCGAGAAGTCCAACAATCCTCTCGCACATAATTATGAAAAAACGCTTTTCTTTTTAATTACTGGACCAATTGCAAATTTCAGTGGTTAAATACTGTATTTTTCACTAGAAGGCTATTACTCAGGCTATCACTAGACAGCTATTATTCATTTAAAATATTTCTGTGAGCTCTATGAGATTCGTTTTTGTGTGCTATGGCGTCATCAAAATTTGCCACTTTGTGGCGCTTCCGCGAACGCCAATCAGCGAATCTCGTGCTCAGCGAACGTAGTCGGATCTCGTGCTTAGCAAAAGTGGGAGATTTTTTATGGGGAACGGTAGACTTCGGTACCTGATCTGGTAATACAGAGAGAGAAAGAGATTCAATATTCCGTCAAGCAAAATAAAATAACAGTTATCGTAAAATAAAAAATAATAACAATGGATTAGTTTGGTATAGACAGGAGGGAGTGATACGACCAGGCGGTCATCAGAGTCAACTTCCTACTTCACGCTATTATGTTTGAGATTCACAATTTCAGATGACTAAATATAAAGAAATGAACATTCTAAAATTTAATAATTATAATAATCAATTCTTTGTTTTCAGAGGAATGTCAAAAGTAAGATATGAGACAATTGAATAACAAATAAAAATGTAAACAATTATAACAGTATATATGAGTTGTTATAACCTTAAAATACAATCCATAGATGAAGTGTAGCATTTAAATATGAATATGAAAAACACCACGGTCTATAAAAAGCAAGATGAGTTGTAAATAAATATACGTATAAAAAAAGGATTCGTATCACGAATACAAGTGCTAGTAAGATATACCAAGTCAAGGGATATTAATGTAGAAAAATTTGACCTAAACACAAATTACAATGTTAGAGTATAATTTAGTGCTGAGTTAATAATAGTGGTGGCCATAGTGGTGTAAAACTTAAATGATTTGTTTTAGAATTGAGAGTAAAGTAATAAAATTGGACACTATGGTAAGCATGCGCCATTCTACAAATGCAAAAATTCACCACTTGCACACCAACACAAATGTATTTCTGTAACATTTTGTCAGATCAGATGAATTTATTTTTTATTCTACGCTCGAAGAGTAGATTATGTGCTTCACGTAATAAAATTTATTGTGAACAGCTACTCGTTTAATTTAATTACAATTAGACAAATGGCAGCACGCAAAAAAGTTGACGCTGAGTGAAGTCGTTCAATGGCGCAAAAAATATTCAAATGGAGGAGCTCCTTGAGGTGCAATGTAATGAGGAAATGAAGCACATATTATTCTATTCGAGAGATGTATCACTGCTTGGTTGTTATAAAAAGTTTTTTTTTGAAAGAAATCTCAAATTTGACAAACAATGCGAAAAAAATCAAATCGATGTTTGAAAGTACATGTGCGCGCAAATAATTATCTTTAAAAATGAGCATTACAAGGAACAAGCGGAGAACTAGGATTAGTGATGCCCATTTAGAAAATGTTTTAATCTTGGCTTCATTCAGTGTGCCGCCTATGTCGAAAAACTACCAAGCGTTGTGCAACAACAAGTATCACATTAAATGTCATATGCAATGTTTTATCTTTTATTAAGACGACTAAGTTGAGTTCACAAATTGTGGCAACCTTCGCGCGCTGTTCGGTTCGGCGCGGCCCGCCAAGACTTGCAACCCATAATTTCGGCCCGTGAGCGACAAAAGGTTGTCGACCCCTGCGCTATACTCTTTAAAGAATATTCAGTATATTGCAATTTTCCAGCAACTTGTTTTTTATTAAGACGACTAAGTTGAATTCACGAATTGTGGCAATCTTTGCGCGCTATCCAGTTTTTAACTTTCCAAAAATAAGTGCGGCCCGCCAAGACTTGCAACCATTAATTTGGCCCGCGAGCGACAAAGATTGCCGAATCTTGGTGTAAATGAATAAAATGGTAGATAACAGCGAAGAGTAACTATCAGTAGTAGGAGAGTTAATAGCTACATGTTAGCGGAAAGCAATTAAATAAAAACAGCTTTTTACACTGGTAAATGATAAAAATATAGGTATCGATTGAAAATATTTGAAACTAAACGCTTAGGTATTAGTAGTATAATAATGAGGAAGGTATGTATCAGTCAGGGTCGAATTTAGCCTACGATGGGGCTTAGGGGCGATGGTAGACTGACATGTTTTGTCCTTTTAAAACTGATACCGCAAACGATGCGATAGACGAGCTTAAAATTAGTTATCAGTACCTATAAGCGGCTAGTAGTTTATTCATTATTTTGAATAAAAATGATAGTTTCTAGTTTGTGAACCAGTTGTAAGCGCCAACTCTCTAAAACAGTGCTCCGCAACCTTTTTTAACATGCGGCACACTTATATACCTTGCAAAAATTCGACGGCACACCACAACAAACGGAAAAAAAGTGTAACTTTGTTTTATGTTCATATTTCAATGAGAGATTTGTGTTTTTTTTTAAATAGCACAATCAATCGCTCTATATTAGGATCAATACGTGAAGAGCAACTAGAAATTCGTCGTCAACATCTTTTATGCAGGATCATTTATCGTTTTTGATCAGTAATGAATGGGAGAAGCTTTGTTCGCACATATAAATTGTGCAAAACTGGAGCAATATTTCAATAGCTGCATTGGAAATGTGCCTATATTCTTCTTTAATTGAAATCCAAAACACATCAAGTGGAATTTCGATGAATTTCAGTCTTAGCGTTCTATGGACCTTTCCCCGACCTTTGACCCCCGGAAAATTCTTCCTATACTTCACCATTGTAAAATTTTCGGGGCTATTTCAAGAGTGCTTTTGCGAGTTGGCGCCTGTGAAATGGGTTATGTGTTTCAAGCCATCATTATGATTCATAGCATACAACAATCTGTTTTTTAAAAAGTACCGTTAAAGAATTTTAGCCTAGTCCATCACAGCTATTTCTACACTAATTTTTATTACTGCAATTAAATTAAAACTCCTAGGAAGACAGGGTGACCATTGAATTATCTGATTTATATTTAAGTTTCCAAAACAAAACTGAAAACTAACGAATAGAGTTCGAAAATGCGAAAACGAGGTAATGTTTACGACCACGATTGAAAATCTGTCTGAGTGAGAAAAGTGTCTGAGCGGATACGAAAAGGGGGCATTGTTACGTCACTTTTTGCAATTTGCTGATTGGCCAATGTCACGAAGTAAACAAGGAAGTCAATGCTCGGGGAAAGGTCCATTATTTCTTACCTCAGAGAAATTTTTTCGAATACGCAGGGGTAATTCTTTCGGTGACATTTCAGCACTAGTTGAGAAATGATTTCGGATCCAGTCGTATCGACAATAGGCTTTACAATATATCTGCTTGACATATAGGCCTACTCCTTGTTACGTCACAAATGCACAGTGGGGGTCAGGAATTTGAATTGGTGTCGCTCAAGCTAACGTAAAAGCAGGTTAAATTTACGTTAGTAGAGTAGAAGCCTAACGTAAAATTGCCAAAGGATAGAAAAAATTGTAAAATGAAGAGAAAAGAAGCAATTCTTGTGCGGCACACCCGGCATCGTCTCGCGGCACACCAAAGTGACTATAGTCACTTTGCGGCACACCGGTGCGCCGCGACACACCGGTTGCGGAGCACTGCTCTAAAACACTCTCAAAATCAATGTTGAAAATTTTGCGATGATAAAGTATGGGGAAAAAGCTTTCAGGGGTCAAGGGTCAGGGAAACGTCCATGTCACAAATCATCCGTTCGCGACTGTGATAGGGTTGACGCATTAATCACTGGAAAGAGCAAAATTAGTTATGTGGCGAACAACGGCCTCTCGTTGTGGTTAGGATAGGATAGGATTTACATATTTATTCCGGGGGAGAGGAAAGCCGATAAGACGGCTTAATCATATGGCGAACCACGGCCTCTCGTCCGGTTACGGTACCGGTACCGTTCCAAGTCGGGTATGGGATTAGTTATATTGTTTGTTTTTCGGAAGCAAGGACTTGTGGTGAAGGAAGCCGTAACCGACCAGCGGTTACGTGAATCACCCAACGACGGCGAGGAGTCCAGCAATCCTCTCGCACATAACCATCTCTGCATGGGATTCGAACCTGCAAACCCACGCAGAGTAATTAGAGGTGCGGTGGCAAGCGTATTCCTAACGCTTAGCCCGTTGAGTCACATCGCCGCGCCTTAGGTTAGAGGACAAGTTACCAGTCGATGCCGGGTACGTGATTAGTCAGTCTGGTACTTCTTTCACATGCATGGACTTGATAGTGGTGGAGGAAGCCTTAACCGGCAATATGTAAATCCTATCGTTCAGAGTACCTGTATGCTGGTACAGTGCACAGTCATGATAGTGGTATGTCATTTAAAGAATTGCAGGTACCGGTACGGTACTGCTTTCCTCATTAACACACGAATTCAAATGTATTTCACTTAAAAGAATTGCTTTTCCTTTTGTGGGTTGAATTGTGAAATAGACCACAAGTTCAAGGCTGTGATACTTGTCTCTGATGATTGTAGTTATTTATAATAATTAGCATAGTACAATAGCGAAGCCAGCCAAATGAAATATATTTTCATTATGGTTTGCTTAAAAAAAACACAGATTTATTCTCTCTAAGTCTGTTGGTTCAAACCTCTTCTCATAATTATGTCTTGTGCGTTGTATTTTTTGTACCACAGAGGAGTGCAATATAAATGATCTTTTTCAATCCAAGGCCTCACCACCTTCTACACCACTACATTAAATCTTAGTACCAAGTCCGCATGACAATATTTATGATTCTTCAGCAGCCTAGTGCTATATCTATCTGACAACAACGCACTTTATAATTTTAATATGCTTCCGACTCCAAAAGAAACTAACCACAACATGTAAATATCAAATTATACTGTTGCTAAAGCGTAACTTGTTCTGGAATGTACGTTGGACATCTAGCTCATTCAACAATAAAGCCTTTTGTCCTAAAAAATTATGCAATGGGCTTGGACCACTTATGGCGCAGAGCATATCATGTCACGGTTATCAGGGGTGTAGAAATGGTCGGGGCACCTGACAAGCTTTCAAAAATCCGGCCATACAAATGCACAACAGCACCTGAAGCAACCCAACTAGAAAAACGGCTCAACATGCTGAAAACAGAAACTCAACAATGGCATCATAGTTTCTGGAGCAAACACAATGAGAGATTTAATCAAGGGAAAGAAGAATATATTAAAAATCATAAGAAATATTTATCATCTATGAATATAGGAGATGCGAAACAAACTTTAAATGCAGAAGACATGGCAATGTTTCATAAAATGTTTTTGAAACAAAATCACTCTCTGAACACTCAGTATGACAGGTGAGTACTATTGGTCTACTTAGTACAAATAGCGAAACTAACAGTACAAATAGCGAAACAAACAAACAGCGAAATAACATTGAAATATTTTTACAGGGAATGGAGATACAGAAATAGAAAAATCCTTCTTTTGATGCTAAAAGTTGAATTGCAAAAACAGTTTCACAAATTGAGAAAAAAATTCCTCTGACCCCATCACATCATCGCATGCCTAACTGATGACTGCGTTCAAGATTTAACTAAAAATTGGGTGGAGATTCTGGTATAATTGGAATTTGAATGAGCTTTTTGAAATATAGCATATTGCTGCATTGATAATAAAATTTTTTCAACTTTTCATAAAGATACGTAAACGATCGCGATGCCCTATAAGTGTATCTGGCGGCAGACATGCATGAAGTTTCAACAGAAGTTTCACTGAATAGTCATACATCTGACTAGAATCCAAAATTATAGGAATACAAGCTGCAAGTCTGCACTGGCCTGCAGCAGTCATTGATATTGCTTTTGAGAAATCAAGCGTGCGAAATATTGCTTCTTGTAGATCCATTTGTGAATCCAAGCAGTCAAGAATGTCTACACATAATTCCAAAGATGTATTCATATCATTGTTACCTATTTTTTCTAGCGTATCATCTGAAATAGAAAAATTCCCGGGAAACTCTGAATACTTGACTTGGAATTCCATTCTTTGTACCAAACATTTGGAGTATTTTGAAATTATTGTACCATATGCTTGGCCAGCATGAGACCAAATTTTCCCAAGGTCTTTGACTTGCTGTTTGTACTTGACTGAACAGGAAAGCGTGCTCTCATGTCCATCCCTTAGCATTCTATGTAACACATGACAAAACTTCCAGCAAGTTATCACATGAGTGGAAAGCTGTAATCGACGTACAACATGCCAAAAAGTGTACGCACCCTTCTCTTGATAAGTCCCCAATATTGCATTTCGAACATGCTTTTCTTTTGCTGGTACTTCATGCTGATTAATAGCTTTCTGTATACTTGTGGTTTGTACTTTTTCAAAGGTTTCTTTGTCAACCTCCAATGAAGCCGGCACTCCTCGTTTCATATCTAAGGTAGTCTAAGCAAGCCCATACAGTCTGGTAAACAAAGCTGGTGTTCGGATAGGGAAACCGGTACAGGAACGACATAATCGAAATTAATTCCCACGCAGAACAAGAGCACGACAGAAACCATAGTTACCTCGTTCCGGCTGACTGGCGCTGTACGATGACAACTTTTTTCGCTTTCCGCGAGGATTGAAATATTTCTAGCGACTTGTTTACTTCGTGACATTGGCCAATCAGCAAGATTCAAAAAGTGACGTAACAATGCTCTCTTTTCGCATCCGCTCATACACTTTCCTCACTCAGACAGATTTTCAAGCATGGTCGTAAACATTACCTCGTTTTTTAACTCTATTCTCTAGTTTTCAGTTGTGCTTCGGAAACTTAAATATAAATCAGATATTTCAATGATCACTCTGTCTTCCTGTGAGTTTTAATTTAATTGCCGTAATAAAAAAATTGTGTAGAAATAGCTGTGATAGACTAGGGTAAAATTCTTTACCGGTACTTTTGAAAAACAGACTGTTGTATGCGATGAATCATAATGATGGTTTGAAACACTTATCCCATTTTACAGGCGCCAACTCGCAAAAGCACTCTTAAATAGCCCCGAAAATTTTGCAATGTTAAAGTAGGCTATAGGAAGAATTTTTTGGGAGTCAAAGGTCCATTGAAATATTTATTTCTAGGTTTGGTTTTTATCAACGACTAACATACCGGTTTTATGTTTTCGATTCTGGAAAAGTAAGGAGGACCGGTGCAGTAAGTTTCAGTGTTGGACGCACAGTACAAGCAATTTTTCTACCAGAATATCGTTATCCGTTAATTATTGTCAATCTGCGTTTACGGATAAATTCTATCAGAAGTTCATTAGTTTATTTTTTAACATTTACGGTAAATGACACTTTTGCACACAGAAATTGAGTTTTTTTTTTAGTTTTTCCCGGAGGGCTATCTAGGATTTATATCTGCCAAACTACAATATTGATGCTAATAGTATGGTAATTTAGACTCTCTGCCTGTTATCATCAAAAAGGTATAATGCAAGGATTTCTGTCTGAGTTTAGAAATTTGATTATGCTCGCTAACACGCTATACAGGTGGCTGAACCTTGAATGCAAAAATCTCTCTGCTCTGCATGAATTACATTGCATAATTCTATTATCTGTATTTTTATTTCGGTATTTACAAAATTAATTATTCTTTTCTTGCATGCCAGTTTTTTAGTGCTTGATTATCCAGAATTTTTCACCTTCTGTTTCGCCCTTAAAACGAAAATGAACTAAATGGCCACAGAGTGGGCCTTATTTCTGCATTTGGTTTTTGATGTAGGGCATTCATTATTTATTCATTTACATATATTTTAATACAGATGAATAGATATATGCAAATAGGCGAGTGCTCTAATGACTAACTTATGCCCGACTTTGCAGAAGAACTCCATTTCGAGGATATGGAGGGAACTTCTGCTTGTACGGGTACTAGCAGTAGATCTTCCGTAGACAGTGCAGATGCGGTTAGGCTGATTGAAAATGTCAGCAAATCAGTCAAGTTGTCATGCACCTGAGAAAAAGTGGTCAGAGATTGGATGAAGGAATTAACGCATAGGGGAAATTGCGATATCATAATCAGCAAATTCTCTAAATTTTTCTGTTAGGTCAAATCTATTTTAGTGGCGGTGTTTTGACCAATTCTAATGCTGCAGATCTATTGTTCAAGATAATACAACAGGCTATTTTACCTGAAGACCCAGTCGAGCAACTTGTAACTGGTGAGCCCAGTGGAGCTGACGATTCAACACTTGAATATTTGGGAGGATATACCATCAAGCGGGCCCTAACAAAATTTCCGACATCCTATCTCATATGTGGAATGTGTGGTGCAGCAACATATATATAAATATAGAGTGCGCTTCTCTCTCATTTCCGCGGGGTCATTTGCTGACTCTATTGTTTTGACGATATACTTCCAACTTTTCTGAGGCGCATATTGCATTTCTTATGGGATATGAAATAAATCAATTATTTTCGTCGATTTTTTTGCATATTCTCCTGATTGTGATTCGTTTCTAATTAGGTATGAAACGCTAATATATCCCAGCCCATCATACGGTGCATATTGACTGTTTTTTTTAATTCGCGTGAGTGGTGGATTAATAATATGGCCAACGTATAAGAGAGAGAGACTGTCAGACGGTCGTGGTTATAACAGTGAGTGCAAGCCCCGCTTTTACGAGACAGTTACGAGTTAGTTCAGTGTAACCGATTTTGCTCTTATCAAAATTAACAAATACGGTAGGCTAGATTTGCTAGAAAACCAACCTTATTGCAGACTGCAGTACAGTAGTACCGGTAAGACCGCGTAAGGAAAAATCGTAGCAAACAGCAAGGACTTCGTTACGAGCCACCGACGTTCGATGGCACAGGATCAGAAGAATCGAGTGCTTATGCGACCGCAGAAAATAATACAGAGAAATTTTAGACAAAATATCAGATTTCATGCGAAATTTAGAAATAAACAAGAGAGCTACGCCCAAATATATGGACACGTCTGTTCGCAGTACAGTACGGTTTACCGTACCGTCAGATCACAGTCTACAAATATATTCACACCAAGCGAATCAGTACAGTAGGACACAAAATGGCGTCCGATGTCCGCAGAACGTTCGGTGACGTCATAGCAAACAAAAACAAATTTCACAGAGCTAACAGAAATATTTAAAATGAATAAAAGTAATAGCCTTCTGGGGAAAAATTTTATCTTCAACCACTGAAAATTTCGAAGCAATTGGTCCAGTATTCGAAGAGAAAAGCGTTTTTTTAATATTTCCACTAGGTGTGTTATTCTGTGTCAAACAACAAGAACAACATAATATTGAAACGATCGTTATGTCGACTACGTGTCCAAAAACAACAAAAGTCAATTTATTCAATGCGATGGCTAATATGTTACCAGTACAGCGCTCGCGACGCGCGCATCTCACCTACACATTCTATGACGTTGCAATGGTGAGAAGCAAAAAAAAGACGTTCCTTACCACGACGGCTTAAAAAAAGCATCATCTCTCTTCGATTGAGAATAAACAGAATGTACTCGCGTACCACCTGGAAAACATTCACGTACCACAGGTTGGGAATCACTGTTCTATTGCGTTCCGTCTACTCTAAACTGTTAACCTGGCTAGCGCTATATAGCATTTTTTTGAATTAGAGTGATACCTTTTATAATAAGGCTATTGAGTAACGCCAATAATTTAAATTTCAAAGTAACCCGTTGTCGTGTTTTTACTGTAATTCACTATGACCGTTGCTTTTGCTGCAAAACTTCATTTTCCAGGCTACCGTTATATTGATAACTACTACTATTTCTTAGCTAAGTTTTACAAATGGCTGATAACCGTAAAAGATCATAAGATCGATCACTTCTAAAGCTCGGTTTCACCGAAAAAAGGGCTAGCGGAAAAGGGTTATTTGTCTAAAAGTTCTATCGGAAGAATCAATGAAGAAAAACAAGTAGAACGTCATTCAATTACAAACCATCCAGAATGCGTCGACAAACCAGTTGGGTTTTTTGAAAGGAAATTGCAGTCAATTGCCTCACAGGTGATGGAGTGGTATGACAGCATTCACAGGAGTAAATAAAATGCAGTCTATCCTTCATACGTTGCTTCCTATCAGATTGCCATAAAAGAAGTCACATAACATTGGGGACAAGTTAATAATGCCGGTAATGAAGAACGTGGTTGAAGCAATGAAAGGAGAATGGAAAGTAAGAAATTAGAATTAGGATTTTAGACATGTCCCATGACTAGGCTTACCATGTTCTCTCGAACATGTTCTCGTTACCGTGTAGCGCAACGCTAGCCTTCTTACCGAAGGTGAATGCGTTATTTTGTTTGTTTCGTTGTTCCCCGCTCACATTTTTTAGCGAACGTATCACATGTAACTTCAATTCTAATTGGTCCTGTTCGGACGTTCACGTGTATGTAACACTGAACAACGTCTTTTTGAAGGTGTTATCTACAGAAAAGCATGCTTGGGCGAATAAGTAAATACTCACTACTTAAAAACAGCAGACTATTTCTTTATTCCTTTTGCTGTACATAAAAAAATCTAAATTTGTATCGTTAGCGTCTATTCCTTTCTATTTTTAGATCTGAACCCGATATTCAGAGAGAGAATATGCGCATGACCTCTCGATGATAATATGGCCAATGAAGACAGCCGGGATGGCTTTAAATGTAGGCCTATGTAGTAAAATCTGAAACTGTAAAGTTACAGGATCACAGCTAAGGGGTCGTGTCTTTGGAGGAGTCACGCTTTAACGTCAAAAAAATATAGTAACCCTACCCATGACGTTTTTGAGCAGATTGTTAGCCAGGTTAAGATTTCCCCATTTTATGCAATTCAACTCGTCGAATCAACAGATATTGCGATCCTATCACTATTTATCCGATACATCATCAACGGAGAAGTATTAGAAGAACTTTTGTTTTGAAGAGCACTGCAGTTGCATGGATGAGGACATCTCTTAAACCAATGAGCATGTATATATGCTCATTGCTCAAACTATTGATGAATTCTTTAACACTCATTTCATATCTTGAGATAAATGAGCAGGAATTTTACAGATGGTGCAGCAGCTTGTACTGGCGTAAATTCAGGTGCAGTAAAACGAGTTAAAAAAAAAGCACCAAACATGTAATGGACACATTGTTTCATTCTCGGACAAGCACTTGCATCAAAAAACTTATCTGTAGAATTGCATGTTACACTGAATTGTGTTATAAAATGCGTTAACCAGCGTTTGTTTTCGTTGCTGTGCAGTAGTGGGATTCAAATTTTTCGTCAGACGGTTCCATCACAAACGTCATATTTATCAGCCGGTTCTGTTACAAAAAGTCATCTTTTTATTAGCAAATAAACCAGTAATGCTAACCGGTTTGGTGATCTCATGAAATTCAGTGGGACGGTTCTATAGAACCGGCTGAATCCCACCACTGTTTCTGTGCGATGAGATGGGCGCTGATCATGAAGGATTGTTGTTGAATAATGGAGTGCGTTAGTTGTCACGTGGCCAGGTTCTTAGTTTATGAGCTACGTTAAGAAATACTCATTTAAAAAATCAGAATCATAAATTGTAAAAATGGAGCATTATCACGGCGACGTACTTATTCCAGCAGATAAACAAGATTGGGTAGTTGATCTTTTTTCTGTTACTAATTTTCCCCAACTACCTCTTCGAGTTTCGGAAGTGTTGACAGAAATGACTTGTGAACCTACGAAACGGATTTCTTTCTATTATTTTAAAGAAAAACATTCTAAACTGTTAGCGCACATATTCTTTCGGGGCTTCGAAAGATGCAACATATTCCACTCTGGTGTTGTACGTGATTCGACAATTAATTCTATTTGCAACTACG